CAAAGGTGAAAGGAACATGACACTGCGTGGTGTAGATCGATGGTGTATAAAAGCAGTCTATGATACTGCACCGACTACACTACACTTCACTAACTATGATCTTGTCCAGCCTGTGCACTCAACCTGTTTTTAACAACCTTTATTTCTCTCTATGAATTCCTGCAGTTTGACTAAATATTGTCTTCTTTTATGACCTCAGTCATCTTTATATCAAGTGGAAAAGGGGGGATAAGACGTATTTTATTTTCCCATATTTGTTGAGCCTCAGCTTTGTTTACATATTCAACATGTAATCCTGCGTCTGCTGTTTGTTTAACATTTTCCTTCCCTCTCGCTTCTCTACCTTTTTCCTTCTACCCAGGGTGACCTTGTGATTTTGGAGAGTGGCTCTTGACCACCACCTGCATTTCCACACTCCTCTGTTTGTCTGTTTGTGTATCTGTGAGTTGACAGGCGGAGGGAGAGAGGCATGGAGGGCAGAAACTGGTGGGGCCTGGGAAGGGAAGAACCACTGGGGAGCAGAATGTGGGGGGGAAAAAAAGAGGGAAATGGGTCTTTGCTGTAACATGATGTTTATTCTCGTGATGTATTTAACTGTAGAAGACAACAGAGGATTGTCTGTTTGGTTATACGAGAAAAACTTGAATACAAATACCAAAATATTCGTTGACGAACATTTAAGAGAAATCTTATAATGGAAAAGACTTACATTTATGAAAAAAAAAATTGTAGTAATATTTAACTTGGGAGAATGTATTTGTCTGTGCTGTGTAAATATCAACATGCTGATATATATGATTATATGTACACAGTTGGATAATTGTGCACTCCATAGAAGTTGTTATACAACAAATGTTGAGCACAGAGTTATTCAATTGCATTTACTTTGGTTCTGTTTAGGAGCTCACCTAGTTTAGCCTTTGCCCTTCAATTCCCTTAAATTATTCATACCACAATAATTTTTTTATCTCAGAATCTATTAACTTCTTTTTTTTAATTTTCTCATTATGTGTTTTTCATTTGATCAGCATTACTGATTTAAGAAACAGGGTAAAGGCTCCTGAAAATATTATGGAAAATAATTAAAGAAGAGAATTATCTATATAAAAAGAGCAGAGAAAAAGTGGTGTTTGGTAATAACTGAATAGATGATAACAGTGGGTTTTACGTTGGTTGTTTCAACTTTATTTATGTTTTTATATATATATTTCCATCAAATATCGCTGTCAAGCAAGGATGAACTCTTGTAAAACAGAATATTTTACATCCTGACACATGAAATCAAAAGATGCATAGGGTTAAGAAAATTAGTGAGCATGGTAGCATCTCATATTTGCCGTGCTATTTCCAAAACTGCTGTAGTGTGCTGTCAGTATGAAAATTGTGAATCAGGGCAGTGAACAACAGTTTTAGCAACGTGTGTTTGTTTATTCGTTTGGATTTATGTAATGGCATCAAACAAATGTTGTCAATGAACCTCGTCCTGTTTTGATCGCCTTTTATGTGGTCCAGAAAGTTGTAAGACAGAGTCATATAGTTTTTTAACTGGTGTTTCTATCACACTGTAATCAGTGGCATCCATACTCACATTAACATGAACTGTAGGTAAATGATCAAATCAAGTATATTACACTTTGAAGACCATAGTTATGCCATAGTAAACACATATTATTATGCGGCCGTCTGAACAGTATGTCTCCATATATACTTCTCCTGCATCCTCAATCCTTCTTTGTCTCTTCTCTCTCTGAAGGCAAGCAAATTTACTGCATGCATCCTTATATCCTAAAGCATCTCTAAACATATATAAGGGACTGAGGCTCAAAGCTGCAGGAAAGTTAGACTACACAGTAATACCGTGGTGTGTTTGATCCCCCATAGTGGTTACTGCACAGCACATACAGCAGCTCTGCTATATTCTACTCGAAGCACAAAGTATGTGCTGCAATAATTACTTCTTTCCAGATATAAATACACCTCTCCTACTGCCAATCCTCTGTTTGGATATACAAGATCATGTTTGCCAAATGGTAAGAAATGTGTCTTGATTGGTAGTTTTTGCTTCCACAGTCCTCATCCCAATGAATTGTTGTCCATCTCCAGTGTATCGATCCATTGCACAGCCTTGGACTCATTTCTTTTAAATCAGGGTTATTTGATTCAGGCGGTGTAGAAGCACCTGGCTTTCTCTCTTCCTCTAGTGGCCCCCCACCTCTGTTTCTTTCTCTCTTTCACTGTAGCTCTTATAAATATGCTGAAATGAAATATACTCTGTTGTTAGTGGTGAATGATGTCTTGTGGTACTCTCTACGCCTTTGGATAGTGCTGTGTTTATTGTGTATGATGTATTCATATTAGTATTTATGATAATGATAAGTCAGAGAAAAAAAATATCCAAGACTCTCCAGAATTCTGCTGTATTCTTATTATATGGGATCCATGTGAAACAAAATGAAATAAACTTGAAATTATTCTGTTGAAGGTTAAGATGTGTACTTCTGTTCATAGGAGTTGCTTGTCTTTACTTGGTTGAGTTGGGTTTGTTAAAAGTATGGTTCAAAACCCCCACTATTCTCGAAAAATGGTGTTTAAAACCTAGCAAAGCAGCACAGATTAAGGTGACATAAACAAGGTTAGTCTATTTAGTGACAGTAGCCTGCGGTTTCTAAAATGCAGATGTTTAGATATTTCAATGGCAGGCCTATATATCTTTTATACACCATTTCAGGCAGGCTGCGGGCCAGTATGCAGGTTATAATTTGACCCAGGGTTTCACCCAGTCTGTGGTTTTGGTGAGGACTCTGCATTGCACTCCCTAGTGGTCGGAGGAAGGTACCGACTGAAGTGGTTTCCTCTGTTTACTTCCCCTTGTTATATGAGAACTACTATTTCTTAATTTTAAAAGACTTGTCCGTATAAATAAGGCAAGGAAGAAGATTTAAGAGATAAACAGAGTGCATTACCACTGCAAAATGCACCGTAGGAGCAGTAGTGGTGCATAACTGATTCTAAGCTTATAAGATAATTGTTTTTAATTGGCTATCAGGGTGTGGGAACTGTTTCAACAGAGATCTCACAATCGATATGATAAAAGTATAAAATTTATGATGATCACATGTTATACTATAATATAATACTTTGACCTGTGCACACAAAGATGATGATTCATTTTAAAATAAGTTTCTTATTAAAACCTCTCATTGTATGTTTAAATTAACAATCTGTATCTAAGCCATTTATAACCAGCTGTGTCTCATACTAAATACTAAATCACAACCAGGACTGACTTGGAAATCTGCACACCAATTAGGATATGATGCCTTCAAAACTATTGGAAATTTTACCATTTTTAGTTGAAGGAGTACAAACAACTGCTTGTATCATGAACAATAGTGGCCAGAGTATTAAGAGAATTTACTTTATTGACAGTAGTAGTACCTCACTACATACAGTAAATACTCCATTACAAGTAAAAGTCCTGCAAAGGTTCTTTAAAGTTGTACTTTAATAAATTCCACTTAAAAAGGTAAAAATACTCCAGAATGGCCCCATCAGTGTTATAATGTGTTGCTCTGAACATAATTACTGATGCATTAACTAAGCAGCAGTTGATTTTCAAGTTGTAGTGGCCTATTTTAACCACCCTATGTACTTTTAGGCGTTTTAATCTATAACAATGCAACATATTTTATAAACTGATCATTTTGTGTGTAAAAATCTTTATCTAAAAAGTAACTTGTGACTACAGCTTTGAAATAAACGCAGTGGAGTTAACCTCTGAAATAAAGAGAAGTAGAAGTAGGGCTGTAAGTAGCATTAAAGGGAAAGTACTGAGCTACAACAGTAAGAGATATCATGCAGGAATGACTGATTTAGAACGGTTGAAGAGTTAATGAGTAACAACTGATGGTCAAAGTGACTTGAATGATGACAACATTTCTTCTCACATGACTCATATCTTTTACCTAGTAGGAGTTTGCCTCTCGACCAGCTACAACATTAAAATGCTACTTACACATGAATGTATCAATAATTGTCTTCCATTATATAACATAATAATCATATAACACTCTGAAAGGGACCATCCGGCATAAGGTGTGCTTTTACTTTTGTACAATTTTCGACTAATACTTAGCACAAGTGGTGTGAAAAGTACTCAGATCCTTATAAATATTTAAAATATTTAACTGTAAAAATACATTTTGTGGAAAATAGGGCATTATGAGCGATAAATTATTAAACATTACATTATGAGAGATGATACAGATGCATCAGTGTGTAAGTAGCATTTTATTGTTGTAGCAGATCGAGCTGGAGCTTTAACAAGGCAATTCAAAGTGCTTTACACACAACATAAAGGCATTAGGACAAGATGTAAAAGAAACACAAGTCAATGTTAAAAGACAGGCACAAATAGGATTTAAAAGGATTCAAGCAAGGTAAAATATTAGAATAATATAGAATCAAACAGATAAAAAAAACATACATAGTACAAAAGTATTAGCATAAAAATACACTTAAATTACCAAAAGTAAAAGAATAATGTATAGGCCTTTCATATTATCACATTATGGTTATAATGCATTAAAGTGCAGATCAATTTAATACTGAAGCTTCTAAATGTGGAGCTAATTTAATTATTATACTGAAGCTAAATGAGTAAAAAGTACCTTTTCTGCCCTGAACTGTACTGTAGAGGAGTCTAAGTGTAAAGTAAAACAAGCAGAGGAAGAAGAAGAAGAAAAAGAAGAGGAAGGAGAAGAAAATGAAGTATTAGAGTAACTACCACCTCTCTTGGGGAATTCAATTTCTATTACTCAAGTAAAGTGCTTCAAACCAGTATTTAAGTACATTACTTGAAGGAATAACACTTACTACCCACCAGTGTTGCTTTTGCAACAGGTCTTAACAAAAGTTTCCGAGGAGCCCCTGAAGGCAGCATGAGAGCAGCTCTCCCCCGAGAAAAGTGAAAGCCAACGCCCCGCTGTCAGCTCCTCAGCTCCTCCCTCCTCCTTCTCCAGAAGCACAGTTCCTGCAGAGCTACCGTGGTCGTGACTGAGCTCCACCGGGGTTTATTTCACCGACACTTTTCACCAGACATTCATCAGACAGGAGGAAGAAGAAAACACAAAAAAAGGGCGAGAAGCAGCCAACACTGGGACTATTCTTCACCAAACTTATCAAAACAAGTTTGTATATTCAAACGCTGTTCGTCTGCTGCTGGCGATAAGGCTCTAATACAGCATACTGTCGCTATAATAAGTTAGTTATTATCACAGAATGGCTGATACAACCGCGTCCAGCCCCGGTGCGAACTGCCTGGAGAAGCTGAAAAGTTACGTGAGGACCCCAAAAGGGTTTATTCTGGCAGCAGAAATAGTAAGTTCACTGACCTGGGCAGCTACCATGTAACTTTTAGCTTCTGTGCAGCCCTGTATTGCTCACACTGTTGTTGTGTATGTTGTGTGTTTAAGCAGCCTGCAGCCAATGAATATTTAATGGATATTAAAGTGGGTTAATGTAGCCTACATTGTTGTTATTGATTATTCTTACTATTAAAGGCTACATAGAGGAGAGAGTTATCCCAGCCCTGATGTACTAATGTAAGCATGTCTTATTTTAATTTCTGTCACTAATCCTCTAGTTTCTTCTTTAAAAGCTGTTTTTTTCTCACTTTCTTTTTTAAAAGTCTAGTCAGGGAATGAAAAGCATGTGGTCTGTTGGGTGGAGGGTTGGCGGTGGTGGGGGAGAGGGGTGAGAGATCATGAACTGAGGTTAAGGGTTTCCACCTGTCACTTGTGCTCCGCTGTTTTCTCATTTGGCACCAAGGAGCCAAATGCTGAGTGTTAATGGCAGATGAAAGGTCATGTGGGTTAACTCGATCCAGTGACTGTTGTCAGGCATTCTCCTTTTCTCTTTATTACCACAGGCTGCGCACTATTTGTAGTAGTAGCCCAAATATGGAGAGGAGAAAATGCAATGTATATCACATTCCTAGTTGTATAAGGGCTCATAAAGGTCTTTTTTTCCACCCCTCGTGTTATGTTTTTGCACATCTGGTTCTAGTTATCATATATATATATATATACGTTTAAATAGAAACATCAGAGCAACACTTAAGACTAATAATGAATGAGTGGGGTGTGTAGTGTAGTGTTAAGTGTCCCACTTCCTGGCAGTGTACAACCACTTCCTGTCTGGGAACACCTTATTTTATTTATACTGTCCTTGACCGCTGTTTGCACATGATTGCGTTTGTTTGCATTTCACAGTGGTTTGTTCTCTTAACACATGAATCACTTTTACATGCATGTCTTCACTTATGATCATCATATTCTCACCAGGCTTATGCAGTTATACCTCAAGTCACAGTAGCTTGTTACCGTAGCTACTGTGTTTTTTAAAAAGCACCTTTTTATCACCGATTTTGAGGCGGGGGGGGGAGAAAAAAAGGTTTGCCTCTCATAACTCAATGTGCTCATTATAAAGCAGGCTCTCAGATGTTGGTGGTCAGTGGTCCACCCACTGTTACGTGTTCGGAGGTAATGGAAATTCCAGCCTGTGTGTGAAGTTTGGTTCCTGGGAACAAAGAATGCGTGAATAGCTTAGCACACATCTCCAGTGTGCCATTCAAAAGATAGCTTCATGCTTCACTTGATACACTCTGGTAGTTTGTTGTTTGCTCTCTCTCTCCCACACACACACACACACACCCACACATAACTTTACTGGAGCCTGGAAATCTCTAAAAGGAAGTCATCTCTGATGGTGGATGTCTCAAATAGTTTACAGTGCAGGGGAAAGGGCTGTGAAGTAAAACAGGAAGACAAATGGTCATTACTGCTTATTATGTCTAATTTAATAGGAAATGCGATGTTTAACTCCTGGCAATCAGGATTTCTGAGGGTAATACCAGCTGATAAACCAAAAGTATGAAAGAATAAAACTTTTTTTTACTTTATCCACTGTCAGCCAGCTCTGACAGCAAGGTTCCACAGCTTGCCAAGTTACAGTTAATACAGAGTTATTTAGTTTTTTCTTTTATTCTGGCTGTCAGAGGCATGACCATACATGAAGCTGCAGATTGACATACAGATCACACACCCATGTAGTTTGTCATGCAGCACAGTTAAGCCGGTAGTGATAAGTAATAAGTCAGGATGAGTCATGCGCTGAACGGCTCTTTCACCTACCTCATTTTTTTTTTAAATATTATGAATATAAAAAGATCACATTGTCTTATGGCTGGAAAACATGTTTTAGGTTTGAAAAAGGGTGGAAAGAAAAACAGGGAGGAGAATGAAGGTTGAGCAATGAGTTAAAACGATGAGGAAGAAGAGTGGTGAAACGTTACATTTTCCTTCTCGACACACATGGTATACACTTTAGTGAGTCACAAGCAAGCTCTACTAAAAAACCACCCCAAAATGTAAGTGACTTCCCTAGCAACCGTTGCTGTTTGGTGTGTCTCTGTACCACGGACTAGCTCTTGGCTCTCATGTTGCTGGTGACTATAATTAGCCAAGCATTCACAACAGTTTCCCTCCAGTCAGTTTAAGAGAGCAGCTTATTATACTGATGTGAATAGGTCCTAGCCGGGGATCTTAAAAAGCTGACCCGTGCAAACAGATCTGCCGCTGTGTGAAAAACATAAAGGTGTCAACATCTCACAGCCTTTTCTTGTTCTGAGGGACTCTTGTGTAGTGGGTGTTTCTCTGTGTGACGGCCTCCTCAGTAGCCGCTGCCCTCAGAGCAGCCGGCTCCGGCCTGAATAGAGCCTCTTTTGTGCAGCGCCTTGGCCTCGACCACCCCGCTACTCTACAGAGGCAGCCTGTGCCAGTCTCGAGAACACATGAACTACTGATGCATCTCTCTGGCTGGCTGCACGTTTGCGTAACAGTTGTGGATGAGGGGAGGGGAAGCAGCAGTGACAGATGCAGGGCTGGTGTCGAGTCAGTTACATCATGCGTGTATTATATAGACTGCAGTGATTTGACACTGGTCGCCACTGAGATGTCTGTGTCTGAGAATAAAACATTGCGGTGCGCAAGACGTGCTTTTTTTTAAGTACACATCATGTGCAGTTTATTTAGTAAGTGTTGCAAGTATAAATTATTTGACTCGTCACAGGAAACCAGTGTAAATTTTAGTTCAGTGGACTATATGTAACTACAGAATTTATCATGTCATTCTAACTTTAATTATATGTTTTATAGAAGATTTAAGATTCAAAGGTTTATTTGTCACATGCTGATACAATATGTCCAATTAAATGCAGAGTAAGAAGAGGAAAAATAATAAGTGTATGCAATATGTTGAAGAGTTGAAGCCATTTTTCAACAGATATGCCAAAGATTTCATGGATTGTTTATCTAGAGCAGCGGTTCCCAACCTTTTTCCTTAAGGGACCCTTTTTCTACCACTTAATAATCTCAAGACCCCTGACTAAGTGACATATTTCATGGATATTTCCTATTATATTCAAAGCTGTACAATTAAACCAAATAATGAACTTGTAACTGCAAGACGTTTGTGTAAAATTTGTTATTTAGATGAGTTGATTATTCCCTGTTTAGGGAACTTTGGGAAAATTGTCTGTTATATGTATATTTTAAAATCAATTTTAACAATCATATATACGTCTTTTTTGACAATATCAATGTTTTCTTGTCCCTGGCGCTTGGCCATTGTTCTATTAGATAATTAATTTAACAGTTACTTTACTTTACATTTACATTTCTTTACAGAAGAACCAAATGCTGAGAAATAGGCCTAATGCGTAAAATCTTCTTACATGCCTTAAAATTAAGAAGGTCTAGTAGAAGAAGAAGAAGATATACTTTATTGATCCCCTAGGGGAAATTGTTTT